CAGGGTGGAATGAGCGGGCCCTTATCGACCATATCCGCTGCAGCCTCCGGGAGGACGTCCAGCGAGAGTTGGCGTGCAGGGACACGTCGTTGACGTTCGACCAGCTGGTCGACATGGCCATCCGGCTGGATACCCTGCTCGCCACCCGTGGGCGTCCCGGAGGGGGGGGTTCGCCCATTCCACTCTCCAGCACCTCCGAGCCGAGCCCTATGGAGCTCGGAGGTGCTGGCGCTAGGGAACGGAGGAGGAGGAGCCCGAGGGGACCCGGCCCTTGCACCAACTGTGGTCGTGGAGGACACACCGCGGCTAGGTGTTGGGGCGGGTCCTCCAGTGAGGGAGATGGCAGGTCACGCATTGGGGGGTCCCCCCAGGTGAGTAGGCGCCCTGCTTACCCAGAGCTTTCTGTCGTGCACCTAACCTTGCCTGTTTGTTTCCCACAGGTTGCACCTCGTTCCCAGCATAAGGCGCTGGTAGATTCAGGCGCAGCTGGGAATTTTGTAGATCGCCAGTTCTGTATAGAGTTAGGGATTCCCCTCCTTCCAGTGGATAAACCTTTCCCCGTCCATGCCCTAGATAGCCGTCCGTTAGGGTCTGGGTTGATTAGGGAAGTCACAGCACCCATTCAGATGACGGCGCAGGAGGGTCATGAGGAGAGAATTCAGCTCTATCTGATTGACTCTCCTGCGTATCCGGTAGTGCTGGGTCTTCCCTGGTTGATGACTCATGACCCTATTATTAGGTGGCGAGAGAAAGCTCTTAAAGGGTGGTCTGCTCAATGTGAGGGGCGGTGTCTGGGTGTTTCCATAGGGGCGACCTCGGTGGAGAGTCCGAATCTAATGCCAGCACTGCAGATTCCCCCCGAGTATGAGGATTTGGCACTGGCGTTCAGTAAGACTAGGGCGGCGCAGCTGCCGCCTCATAGACGGGGGGATTGTGCGATAGATCTCCAGTCAGGAGCAGCTCTCCCGCGGAGCCATGTGTATCCCTTGTCTCAAGAGGAGAGAAAGGCTATGGAGACATACATCTCTGAGTCTCTGAGACAGGGATACATACGGCCCTCCGTTTCACCCGCTTCCTCAAGTTTCTTTTTTGTAAAGAAAAAGGATGGAGGTCTGCGCCCGTGTATTGATTACCGCGGTCTCAATCAGATCACAGTGAAGTACAGCTATCCACTTCCTCTGATTGCGACTATGACGGAGTCACTGCATGGTGCGCAGTTCTTTACAAAATTGGATCTTAGGAGCGCATATAACTTGGTACGCATTCGAGAGGGCGATGAATGGAAGACAGCGTTTAGCACGACTTCCGGACACTACGAGTATCTAGTCATGCCATATGGGTTGATGAATGCTCCCTCAGTCTTCCAATCCTTCGTCGATGAGATTTTCCGGGACATGCAGGGACAGGGAGTAGTTGTGTACATCGACGACATTCTGGTGTATAGTCCTACCCGTGCTGAGCATGTAGCCCTGGTGCGCCGAGTATTGAGGAGGCTGTTGGAGCATGACCTATATGTCAAGGCAGAGAAATGTCTGTTTTTCCAGAAGTCGGTCTCCTTTCTGGGTTACCAGTTGTCTGCGTCAGGGGTGAAGATGGAGGTAGACCGGGCGTCAGCTGTGCGTAATTGGCAGACCCCAACCACTGTGAAGGAGGTGCAACGGTTCTTGGGTTTTGCGAATTATTACCGGAGGTTTATCCGGGGTTTTGGACAGGTGGCAGCTCCCATAACGTCTCTGTTAAAGGGGGGTCCGGTGCGCTTGCGGTGGTCAGCTGAGGCGGACAGGGCATTTGGGAGACTAAAGGACCTGTTTACCTCGGCGCCGGTGTTGGCGCATCCGGATCCTTCTTTACCGTTCCAAGTAGAGGTGGACGCGTCAGAGGCCGGGATAGGGGCCGTTCTTTCCCAGCGTTCTGGCACTCCACCTAAACTCCGTCCCTGTGCGTTCTACTCTAAGAAGCTCAGTCCGGCGGAGCGGAATTATGACGTAGGAGACAGGGAGCTGTTAGCCGTGGTACAGGCCCTAAAGGTGTGGCGGCATTGGCTCGAGGGGGCTCAACACCCTTTCCTCATTCTAACTGACCATCGTAACCTGGAGTACATCCGGGCAGCTAGGAGACTGAATCCTCGCCAGGCTCGTTGGACTATGTTCCTAGCCCGGTTTGTGTTTAAGATCACATACATCCCTGGGTCCCAGAACGGGAAGGCAGATGCTCTGTCTCGGCGGTATGACGCAGAGGAGAGGTCAGTTGAGTCCACGCCCATACTACCGGAGTCTTGTCTGGTTGCTCCGGTGGTGTGGGAGGTTGATGGTGAGATCGAGCGGGCGTTACGCACCGACCCGAGTCCTCCACAGTGTCCTGTGGGTCGGACGTACGTTCCGCTCGAGGTACGCGATCGCCTCATTTGTTGGGCTCATACGTCCCCCTCCTCTGGCCATCCGGGTATCGGCCGGACAGTGCACTGCCTTAGCACGAAGTACTGGTGGCCAACGTTAGCTAGGGATGTGAGGATTTATGTCTCCTCCTGTTCGGTGTGTGCCCAGTGTAAGGCGCCCAGACATTTGCCCAGGGGTAAGTTACAACCCCTGCCTATTCCACAACGACCCTGGTCCCACCTCTCGGTGGATTTTGTTACCGACCTCCCCCCCTCACAGGGGAATACTACCATCCTGGTCGTTGTGGATCGGTTCTCTAAGGCCTGTCGTCTCCTTCCCATGCCGGGTCTACCCACTGCCCTACAGACCGCTGAGGCTCTGTTCACCCATGTCTTCCGGCATTACGGGGTACCCGAGGATATAGTGTCTGACCGAGGCCCCCAGTTCACCTCTAGGGTGTGGAGAGCATTTATGGAACGGTTGGGGGTTTCGGTAAGCCTTACCTCGGGGTACCACCCGGAGAGTAATGGGCAGGTTGAACGTGTCAACCAGGATGTGGGTAGGTTTCTGAGGTCATACTGTCAGGGCCGGCCGGAGGAGTGGGCGAGATATGTGCCCTGGGCCGAGATGGCACAGAACTCTCTTCGCCACTCCTCCACCCAACTAACCCCTTTTCAGTGTGTATTAGGGTACCAGCCGGTTCTGGCACCATGGCATGAGAGCCAGATCGAGGCCCCCGCTGTGGATGAATGGGTGCGGCGCTCGGAGGAGACGTGGGACGCTGCACACGTCCATCTGCAGCGTGCCATACGTCGACAGAAGACGAGCGCCGACCTACACCGCAGTGAGGGGCCAGTGTACGCACCTGGAGATCGAGTCTGGCTCTCAACCAGAAACCTGCCCCTCCGCCTGCCCTGCCGGAAGCTGGGTCGGCGGTTTGTGGGGCCATTTAAAGTCCTGAGGAGATTGAACGAGGTGAGTTATAGGTTAGAACTACCTGTTGATTACAAAAATATTAACCCCTCGTTCCATGTGTCTCTCCTCAGGCCGGTGGTAGCTGGTCCACTCCAGGACTTTGAGATTGAGGAGACTCCTCCGCCCCCGTTGGACATCGAGGGGGCTCCGGCGTACACCGTGAGGTCCATCCTGGATTCTAGACGCCGGATGGGGGGTCTTCAATATCTCGTGGAGTGGGAGGGGTACGGCCCGGAGGAGCGGTGCTGGGTGCCAAGGAGGGACGTCTTAGACCAGTCCCTACTGACCGATTTCCATCGGGGTCATCCTGCGCGCCCTGCTCCGCGTCGTCCGGGTCGTCCCCGAGCTCCGGGTCGGCGCACGGCTGGAGCCGCGCGTCAAGGGGGGGGTACTGTCACGGTTTCGGCCGAGGCTGCTCCTCTTCCTTGTTCGGGCAGGCTTCGGCGGTCGTCGTCTCCGGAGTACTAGCTGCCACCGTTCTATGTTTCATGTTCTTTTGGTTTTGTCTGTTTCATAACACCTGTCCCTTATTTGTGTCTTAATTGTTTCCCTTATTTAGTTCGTGTGTTTGGGTCAGGTGTTATGCGTTATTGTTTTGTGTCAGCCTGTGTCGGCCGTATCAGTCTCTCGTGGTTGTATTTTTCGAGAGTTTGCACTGCGTGCGCTTCTTTCTTGTTTTCCGCACAGTGTTTCAGTGCGTAATTTGTGCGCCACCCGGTTGGGGAGGCTATTTTGTCCTATTCTTGGATTTACTAAAGTGTTTAACGTCATCCTGGTTCCTGCGTTTGATTCCACACACACACCACTCTGACACCAATTGCCCTGGTGCCATCCAAATTTAAAATTGATCAAAAACTTTGCGCGTTTGCTTGAGCCTGCCTGGAGTGTCAGATCAATGGGTTTTGCACTTTTGGGACTATTCCATGTCCATCAAAATAAGGGAAATAATATATAAAGACGGTGATATACATGACCGGTTGAAGTTGCTACTTACCTGATAACGTAAAAAAAAAAACGATAACATAATAATACCCTTGATTAATAATAATCAAGTATAGTGTTGCCTGTGTGTGTGTGTGTGTGTTACCGTTCACGTGTGTACATTTCAATGTGTGCTTGTGAGTGTCTCTACGTATGAGTATGATATGATGTGCATGAGTTTGTGTTGTATTTGGCAGTGGGCGGTGGTATGTGCATCGAATTGAGGGAAGTAGTACATCAAAACATTGCTTTTGGTATGTTATTACGTGATTGATTGAAGTTATTACATTATTCATAAAAAAGTTGTTTTTGATAAACTCACTTTTGATAAACAGGGCAAAATAGAAATTGTCCTATAACAGCCAGGATCAGCTTGATCTCCCCCTTTAAATAAAGGATGCACTGTGGCTGCCTTCCAAGCAATGGGAACCTCCCCAGAGATGAGAGACAGGTTAAACATGTCGGAGATAGGCTTGGCGATGATATGGGCAGCAACCTTAAAGAAGAAAGGGTCTAAACCATCTGACACAGATGTTTTTTTGGGGACAAGTTTAAGGAGCTCCTTTAGCACCTCGGATTCTGTGACCGCCTGCAGGGAGAAACTTTATAGCGTGGCAGGGGAAAAAGAGGGAGGAGCATCAGGGCTAGTCGCATTAGAAGGGGTGGGAGATGAGGAAATGTTGGACGGGCAAGGAGGCATGGCTGAGTCAAATTGGAATCCTGACTAAAGTAGCCTATTCTGGGATTGGTAATAATCTGAGAAAGATTTAGGGAGTCCCATTGCTTTAGGACTTGGTCAGGTGGTTTAAGCATGTCCCAGTTTAGGTCACCTAGCAGGACAAATTCAAACTTAGTGTAAGGGACCAGGAGAGAGCATAGGGCAGGCAGGGTACAGGCCGGTGCTGATGGTGGACGATAACACCCAGCAACAGTCAACAAAGAGCTATTTGAAAGAACAAGCAAGTTCATAGTCAACAAAGCACACAGGTGTCATGAGGCAAATAGCATAAAGCACAAGAAAAAAATATAACGACTTGGGGCTAGCCATTGTAAGTTCAGAGTCACTCGCCCCAACTGTGCGTGTGTGCTGGAGGTGAGCGAAAGCTCGGGAGAGAGGGGGGAGTGTGGCGGGGGTACCTGTACCAGACAGGGGGAGACAGGCCAGGTCAGATGGTGAACAGATCGCCAGGTGGAATCCAAGCAGCAGTGCAGCAGGCAACGGGAGTAGGTGTCACACCCACTTGGGAGAAGCTTTTTTAGGGAGGCAGATTTCTTGTAGAAAATCCCAGCTAGCTAGCTAACGTAGCTAGCAAGTCTCTGTCCACCGTCCATGGTCCTTTACGACGTCCAAACAAAGTTGTCCTGTGGCTGTTGTATTTTGTAGAATGCGAGGAGGATATCTTCTGATGTGATCAAAGCAACAATATTGTTTCTTATTGCACAGATGGAGGGGGCTTCAAAGGCCTCTGCATTGCTGGGCTCAAGGGCTTTGACACCTCTCACTTCACACCTCAGTGCTAATTTAAGTTGTTAGCCGGATCTGTGCTGTCCTAGCAAGCTTGGTAGCCTTAACTTAGCATTCAGTCCTTATAAAGTAAAGTATATCATTGTAATGTATTTTTCTTCTTGCCTTTAAAAGTGGCTTCAGACTAACGTTACTCACTCAGTTCCAGGTTGGATGGTGTTTTCAGGTTTCTTGCGCTTCTTTTCCTGGTCATTCAAATGTGTTTTTTCTCTGCCAAGAAGTTTCCTTTAGTTTGAAAGTTTGTTTCTTAAATTGTTGTAATGCATTCTTTACAGTCATGTTTTTTTTTCATCATATTTTAAATAACTTGTAGAAAATACACTTTATGCCACTGTCATAAAGCATTATGACCATCCTGTGTCACTTTTCTTGGACTAAGAAAATACACTTTATGACACTGTCAATAAGCATTATGACCATCATAATTACATAAGCCAGATAGGCCTATCACGTACATGCCCTTATGTCAGTCATCAGTCAAAAAGAGGGTGTCTTGTCCTGCTCCTTAAATCTGCTCCTCCATTCATCCCAGTCATCAGAAATAGAGCATTGGGGTAGGTGCATGTCTGACATCAATGTGTGCGTAATTACAATTATAATTTTAATATGGTTATATAACATAAACATACTGTTGACAAGTAGGCTATGGTGTAATGGAATGTTTTGCCTTGTGTGGTAGGTTTTGTGGGTTTTGACACTGTTATGTAGGTGTCATAACCAGCCATAAAATAACGCAATATATGTCACAACAGGTGTAAATATATGTGTCATGACAGTGTTATGACCATATTATGACAAGTTATGTCAGCTGTTATGCCATATTATGACATGGTTATGACCGTGTTATGATGCTGGGTGTCAAGTAAAGTGTTACCTAAAAGTTATTACAAATAGAAAAGTTATTACATTTACAGGTGTTATTACATTTACCGTTGTTACAGGGGCTAACATAAGGACGACTCAGAATATGCTATTCTGTTCTTCTGAAATAGGCTACATTTTCTTCATATCATAATGTTTCTTTAGACCTGCCTAATGTTAATTAACGGTCAATGACCGTGAGACCGGCAGTTATTTGACAGTTACCGGCTGACAAAATGTCATGACCCCCACAGCCGTAGTTGTGGTGTGTGTGAGTGTGTGTGTGTCTTTGTGGAGGAGGGGGTGGGTTATTGTGTGTGTGTGCATGCATGCTGGTGAGCCTCTCTCTCTCTCTCTCCTCTCTCTCTCTCTCTCCTCTCGCTCTCTCTCTCTCTCTCTCTTCTTCTCTCATCCTCTCTCTCATCCGTCTCATCTCTCTGCTGACATCTCTCTCCTCTCTCCTCTCATCTCCCTCTCTCTCTCTCTCAGATGAGTTTGTGATATCTCCAGTGGAGGGAGAGCTGCGTGTGAGGAGAGACGTGGAGCTGGACAGAGAGACCACACCCTTCTACAACATCACTGTCATGGCCAAAGACCTGGGCAACCCACCACGCAGCAGCATGGTGTGTTCGCACAGATATGCACTGATCCTGCTAACATGCTCAGACACTTCAATGAACACAACACACACACACACACACACACACACACTCACACACTCACACACTAAGACCAAGTACCACCCTGTATTGTGTCTCCTCGATCTCCCAGGTGGTGGTGGGTGTTCAGGTTCTGGACATCAATGACAACGACCCCGTGCTGCTCAACCTGCCCCACAACACCAGTGTGAGCGAGGGGGCGTCCGTCCACACCTCGGTGGCCAGGGTCAGAGCGCGGGATGTGGACAGTGGACGCAACGCCCTGCTCACCTACAACATCACCGCCGGAAACCGCGACGGAGCCTTCTACATCAATGACACTGTGAGAGGGAGGGAAAGGAGGGGATGGGAGGCGGACAGAAGGTGTGAGGGAAGAAAAGGAGAGGGAGAGAGGGCGAGAAGGTTAGGAAAAGGATAGTGGATAAAGGAAGAAGGGTTACGGAGAGGGAGTAAAGGGGTAGAACAGATAGAGAGGAGAGGTAGAAAAATGTAGACAGAGAAATAGATAGAAAGTCATAGAGAGGCATTGAAAAGGGAAGGATATACTGGCGTAATTGATGAGTCATGTCTATCATCCTTCTTGTTCTCTCTCTCTCTCTCTCTCTCTCTCTCTCTCTCTCTCTCTCTCTCTCTCTCTCTCTCTCTCTCTCTCTCTCTCTCTCTCTCTCTCTCCCCTCTCTCTGTCTCTCTATCTCTTGCTCTATCTCAGACAGGGGTGGTGCAGGTGAACAGGCCTCTGGACAGAGAGAGGGTGGCGGAGTACACACTGGCCATCACGGTCAAAGACAACCCTGAGAACCCCCGCATCGCTCGCCGGGTACTGCCACACACACACACATGCACACACACACACACATAACCCCCTCTCAGGCCATATGCTATTTACTGGCAAAGTCAAGCCACTGCTTCCTCAGCTGTAAGCTACCAAAACTCTGCAAAACCATACACTGATCTTATCATTGATTACCTACAGTGCCTAGTGAAAGTCTACACACCTCTTGCACAGTCTTTATAATTAAATATAAAAACGGATTCAATTCTATTTTGTTCCTACCGATCTACTGTACATAATCTACTGAACATTTTCAAAGTGAAAAAATTATAGAACATTTTCCAAATTAATAAAAAAAATTAAAACAGTTAAAATGTAATGATTGCGTATGTCTTTACACCCCAGAGTAAGTACTTGGTGGAAGCAACTTTGGCAGCCATTACAGCAGTGAATCAGTGAATCATTTTGAATAAGATTCTAACAAATTGCAACACTTATGGCAACATACATATATCCATTGTTTTTGAAAAATTGCTCAAGCTCAGTAAATTTGATTGGGAGTCATTGATGGACAGCAATATTCAAACCCTGTCTCAGATTTTTAAGCAAATATACAGTGCATTCGGAAAGTATTCAGACCCCTTGACTTTTTTCCACATTTTGTTACATTACAGCCTTATTTTTCACTTCCGTTTTGAGCGCGTCACTTGTCTCCGTGCTACGCTGTTTGGCTAACTGCCAAACCTGGCGGTTTTTACTTTTTCTTTTACCGTTTAAACTATCTTCATTTATCAAATTTTACCAACGTCTTAGTTATTTTTATATTTTTTACTCGCTCAACTTTTTTCATTCAACTTTTTCACCCCGGACGCTTTATCTTGACACGGTTCTACAGGACCTCCACCAGCCGAAGCTAAGTAGTAACATTAACACTATGCCATCTAATTGCAGTCGCTGTACTCATAATATACAGGAGAACTATCGCCTTCTGGTGAGGATAGCCGTGCTGCAAGCACAGCTTCAGACGCAATAGTTAGGCAAGGGCAATGTAAGTGTAGGAAAGGATGAAACAGCGTCTGTGCCACCAGTAAGTACAGATAGTAGTATAAATCCCCTCGCACAGTCCCCGCGGCCGGACAATTTTCTCAAGGCTTCTGGAAAGAAATGCTGTCGGCATGCTCAACCGGTGTCGCTCATTCAGCCGACAGAAACGTTCAACCGGTTCTCCCCATTAATCAACGAGTCGGAGTCAGAGGCCGAGCCTTCTCAAGTCTCTTCTCCACCCGTTACGGGGTCTGAGCCACTGAAGCCTACCACAATTAGCTCTGAAAACCCTAGTCATTGGTGACTCCATTACACGCAATATTAGACTTAAAAATAATCATCCAGCGATCATACACTGTTTACCAGGGGGCAGGGCTACTGACGTAAAGGCTAACTGGCGAGTGTAGAGAGTATAGGGATATTGTTATCCACGTCGGCACCAATGATGTTAGGATGAAACAGTCAGAGGTCACCAAGAGCAACATAGCTTCAGCGTGTAAATTAGCTAGAAAAATGTGTCGGCATCGAGTAATTGTCTCTGCCCCCTCCCAGTTAGGGCGTCTGATGAGCTCTACAGCAGAGTCTCACAACTCAATCGCTGGTTGAAAACTGTTTTCTGCCCCTCCCAAAAGATAGAATTCGTAGATAATTGGCCCTCTTTCTGGGACTCACCCACAAACAGGACCAAGCCTGGCCTGCCTACTCAATCACTTTTTATACCTACTGTTTACAGGCCTCCTGGGCCGTATAAAGAGTTCCTCACTGAGTTCCCTGAATTCCTATCGGACCTTGTAGTCATGGCAGATAATATAAATAAATTTGACTGTAATATTCACATGGAAAAGTCCACAGACCCACTCAAAAAGGCTTTCGGAGCCATCATCGACTCAGTGGGTTTTGTCCAACATGTCTCCGGACCTACTCATTGCCACAGTCATACCCTGGATCTAGTTTTGTCCGGTGGAATAAATATTGTGGATCTAAATGTTTTTCCTCATAACCCTGGACTATCGGACCACCAAAGATTCCTAGAGGCCCTTCCAGACTCCCTCCACTTACTCAAGGACGTTGGAGTACAAAAATCAGTTAACGACCTAACTGAGGATCTAAATTTAACCTTGTGTAATACCCTAGATGCAGTCGCACCCCTAAAAACAAAAAACATTTGTCACAAGAAACTAGCTCCCTGGAATACAGAAAATACCCAAGCCCTGAAGCAAGCCTCCAGAAAATTGGAACGGAAATAGCGCTCCACCAAACTGGAAGTCTTCCTACTAACTTGGAAAGAAAGTACAGAGCAGTATCGAAGAGCCCTCTTTGCTGCTCGATCATCCTATTTTTCCAACCTAATTGTGGAGAATAAGAACAATCCAACATTTCTATTTGATACTGTCGCAAAGCTAACTAAAAAGCAGCATTCCCCAAGAGAGGATGCCTTTCACTTCAGCAGTGATTCATGAACTTCTTCGACGAAAAGATAATGATCATTAGAAAGCAAATTACAGAATCTGCGTATTTCTCCAAAGTTCAGCTGTCCTGAGTCTGCACAAAACTGCCAGGACCTAGGATCAATGGAGACACTCAAGTTTTTTAATCCTATATCTCTTGACACATTCATGAAAATAGTAATGGCCTCTAAACCTTCAAGCTGCATACTGGACCGTATTCCAACTAAACTACTGAAAGAGCTACTTCCTGTGCTTGGCCCTCCTATGTTGAACAAAATAAATGGCTCCCTATCCACTGGATGTGTACCAAACTCACTAAAAGTGGCAGTAATAAAGCCTCTCTTGAAAAAGCCTAACCTTGACCCAGAAAATGTAAAAAACTATCAGCCTATATCGAATCTCCCATTCCTCTCAAAACTTTTAGAAAAAGCTTTTGTGCAGCAAATCACTACCTTCCTAAAAAATGTATACAAAATGCTTCAGTCTGGTTTTAGATCCCATCATAGCACTGAGACCGCACTCGTGAAGGTGGTAAATGACCTTTAATGGCGTCAGACCAAGGCTCTGCATCTGTCCTCGTGCTCCTAGACCTTAGTACTGCTTTTGACACCATCGATCACCACATTCTTTTTGAGAGATTGAAAACCTTAATTGGTCTACACGGACAAGTTCTTGCCTGGTTTAGAACTTATCTGTCGGAAAGATGTCAGTTTGTCTATGTGGATGGTTTGTCCTCTGACAAAGAAATTGTATGTTTCGGTGTTCCTCAAGGTTCCATTTTAGGACCACTATTGTTTTCACTATATGCAGTTGAAGTCGGAAATTTACATACACTTAGGTTGGAGTCATTAAAACTCGTTTTTCAACCACTCCACACATTTCTTGTTAACAAACTATAGCTTTGGCAAGTCGGTTAGGACATCTACTTTGTGCAGGACACAAGTAATTTTTCCAACAATTGTTTACAGACAGATTATTTCACTTATAATTCACTGTATCACAATTCCAGTGGGTCAGAAATGTACATACACTATCTTGACGGTGCCATTTAACAGCTTGGAAAATTCCAGAAAATGATGTCATGGCTTTAGAAGCTTCTGATAGGCTAATTGACATAATTTGAGTCAATTGGAGGTGTACCTGTGGATGTATTTCAAGGCCTTCCTTTAAACTCAGTGCCACTTTGCTTGACATCATGGGAAAATGAAAAGAAATCAGCCAAGACCTCAGAAAAAAATTGTAGACCTCCACAAGTCTGGTTCATCCTTGGGAGCAATTTCCAAACGCCTGAAGGTACCACGTTCATCTGTACAAACAATAGTATGCAAGTATAAACACCATGGGACCACGCAGCCGTCATACCGCTCAGGAAGGAGACGACTTCTGTCTCCTAGAGATGAACGTACTTTGGTGTGAAAAGTGCAAATCAATCCCAGAACAACAGCAAAGGACCTTGTGAAGATGCTGGAGGAAACAGGTACAAAAGTATCTATATCCACAGTAAAATGAGTCCTATATCGATATAATCTGAAAGGCCGCTCAGCAAGGAAGAAGCCACTGCTCCAAAACCGTCATAGAAAAGCCAGACTACGGTTTGCAACTGCACATGGGGACAAAGATTGTACTTTTTGGAGAAATGTTCTCTGGTCTGATGAAACAAAAATTGAACTGTTTGGCCATAATGACCATCGTTATGTTTGGAGAAAAATGGGGGTGGCTTGCAAGCCGAAGAACACCATCCCAACCATGAAGCACGGTGGTGGCAGCATCATGCTGTGGGGGTGCTTTGCTGCAGGAGGTGACTGATGCACTTCACAAAATAGATGGCATCATGAGGAAGGAAAATGATGTGGATATATTGAAGCAACATCTCAAGACATTAGTCAGGAAGTTAAAGCTTGGTCGCAAATGGGTCTTCCAAATGAACAATGACCCCAAGCATACTTCCACAGTTGTGGAAAAATGGCTTAAGGACAACAAAGTCAAGGTATTGGAGTGGCCATCACAAAGCCCTGACCTCAATCCTAAAGGAAATGTGTGGGCAGAACTGAAAAAGCGTGTGCGAGCAAGGAGGCCTACAAACCTGACTCAGTTACACCAGCTCTGTCAGGAGGAATGGGCCAAAATTCACCCAACTTATTGTGGGAAGCTTGTGGAAGGCTACCCGAAACGTTTGACCCAAGTTAAACAATTTAAAGGCAATGGTACCAAATACTAATTGAGTGTATGTAAACTTCTGGCCCACTGGGAATGTGATGAAAGAAATACAATTTGAAATAAATAATTATCTCTACTATTATTCTGACATTTCACATTCTTAAAATAAAGTGGTGATCCTAACTGACCTAAGACAGAGGAATTTTTACTAGGATTAAATGTCAGGAATTGTGAAAAACTGAGTTTAAATGTATTAGGCTAAGGTGTAGGTAAACTTCCGACTTCAACTGTACCTACACGTACGCTACGGTCACAAGACGCAGGCCTCCTTATTGTCCCTAGAATTTCTAAGCAAACAGCTGGAGGCAGGGCTTTCTCCTATAGAGCTCAATTTTTATGGAATGGTCTGCTTATCCATGTGAGAGACGCAGACTCGGTCTCGACCTTTAAGTCTTTACTGAAGACTCATCCCTTCAGTAGGTCCTATGATTGAGTGTAGTCTGGCCCAGGGTGCGAAGGTGAACGGAAAGGCACTGGAGCGACAAACCGCCCTTGAGGTCTCTGCCTGGCCGGTTCCTGCCTCTCCATTGGGATTCTCTGCCTCTGACCCTATTGCGGGGGCTGAGTCACTGGCTTACTGGTGCTTTCCTTGCCGTCCCTAGGAGGGGTGCATCACTTGAGTGGGTTGAGTTATTGACATGATCTTCCTGTCCGGTTTGTCGCTCTCTCGGGCTCGTGCAGTGGAGGAGATCTTCGTGGGCTATACTCAGCCTTATTTCAGGGTAGTAGGTTGGTGGTCTGTTGATATCCCTCTTGTGGTGTGGGGGCTGTGCTTTGGCAAAGTGGGTGGGGTTATATCCTGCCTGGTTGGCTCTGTCTGGGGGTATCGTCGGACGGGGCAACAGTGTCTCCCGACACCCCCTGTCTCAGCCTCCAGTATCTATGCTGCAATAGTCTATGTGCCGGGGCGCTAGGGTCAGCCTGTTATATCTGGTGTTATTCTCCTGTCTTATCTGGTGTCCTGTGTGAATTTAAGTATGCTCCCTCTAATTCTCTCTCTCTCCCTCTCTCCCTCCCCTCCCGGAGGACCTGAGCCGTAGGACCATGCCTCAGGACTACCTGGCCTGATGACTCCTTGCTGTCCAGAGTCCACCTGGTCGTGCTGCTGCTCCAGTTTTCATTCTTCTGCCTGCGGCTGTGGAACCCTGACCTGTTCACCGGACGTGCTACCTTGTCCCAGACCTGCTGTTTTCAACTCTCTCTCTCTACCGCACCTGCTATTTTAACCTCTAAATTCCCAGCTATGAAAAGCCAAGTGACGTTTACTCCTGATGAACTGACCTGTTGCGACCTCTACAACCACTGTGATTATTATTTGACCCTGCTGGTCATCTATGAACGTTTGAACATCTTGGAGAAATATCTGGCCTTAATGGCCATGTACTGTCATAATCTCCACCCGGCACAGCCAGAACGGGACTGGCCACCCCTCAGGACCTGGTTCCTCTCTAGGTTTCTTCCTAGGTTTCTGCCTTTCTAGGGAGTTTTTCCTGGCCACCGTGCTTCTACATCTGCATTGCTTGCTGTTTGGGGTTTTAGGCTGGGTTTCTGTATAGCACTTTGTGACATCTGCTGATGTAAAAAGGGCTTTATAAATACAATTTGAAATTAAATTATTTTTTTCCCCTCATCAATCTACACACAATACCCCATAATGACAAAGCGAAAACAAGTTTTTAGACATTTTTGCAAATGTATTAAAAATAAAAACAAATAACAAATACCTTATTTACATAAGTATTCAGACCCTTTGCTATGAGACTCGAAATTGAGCTCAGGTGCATCCTGTTTCCATTGATCATCCTTGAGATGTTTCTACAACTTGATTGGACTCCACCTGTGGTAAATGAAATTGATTGAAAATGATTTGGAGCTCCAGAGTTCATCTGGGGAGATGGGAGAACTTTCCAGAAGGACAACCATCTCTGCAGCACTCCACCAATCAGGCCTTTATGGTAGAGTGGCCAGACAGAAGCCACTCCTCAGTAAAAGGCATATGACAGCCCGCTTGGAGTTTGCCAAAAGGCACCTAAAGGACTCTCAGACCAGAGAAACAAGATTCTCTGGTCTGATGAAACTAAGATTGAACTCTTTGGCCTGAATGCCAAGCGTCAAGTCTGGAGGAAACCAGACACAGCTCATCACCTGGCCAATACCATCCCTACGTTGAAGCATGGTGGTGGCAGCATCATGCTGTGGGGATGTGTTTCAGTTGCAGGGACTGGGAGACTAGTCAGGATCAAGGGAAAGATGAACAGAGCAAATTACAGAGAGATCCTTTATGAAAACCTGCTCCAGAGCGCTCAGGACCTCAGACTGGGGCGAAGGTTCACCTTCCAACAGGACAACGACCCTAAGCACACAGCCAAGACAACGCAGGAGTGGCTTCGGGAGAAGTCTCTGAATGTCCTTGAGAGGCCCAGCCAGAGTCCAGACTTGAACCCGATCTAACATCTCTGGAGAGACCTGAAAATAGCTGTGCAGCGACGCTCCCCATCCAACCTGACAGAGCTTGAGCGGATCTGCAGAGAAGAATGGGACTCCCCAAACTCCCCAAATACAGGTGTGCCAAGCTTGTAGTGTCATACCCAAGAAGACTCGAGGCTGTAATCTCTGCCGAAGGTGCTTCAACAAAGTACTGAGTAAAGGGTCTGAATACGTAAATGTGATATTTTTAATAAATTAGCTAACATTTCTAAAAACCTGTTTTTGCTTAATGGGGTATTGTGTGTAGATTGATGAGGAATAAAAACAATTTAATCCATTTAAGAATAAGGCTGTAATGTAATAAATTTGGAAAAGTGAATGGGTCTGAATACTTCCCGAATGCACTGTAAGTAAGGACTGAGACTAGACCACTCAGGAATCACTTAATACCTAATGGAAAGCCATTCTGGTGTGTCTTTGGCATTAACATTTGAGTAAATGTCCAGCAGAAACATACAACTCTATCCCAGGGTTTTCCTATAATTCTTTAACTCTGCTTTGGTCCATTCATATTTATTTTGATCCTGACAAATTCCCCAGTCTCTGCTGTTGATAAGCATAGCCATAACATGATGCTGCCACCACAATACTTGAAAATACAGAGGGTTTCACTCCGTGTTGTGTTGTATTGGATTTGACCCAAACCTGTAGTTTTTAGATTAGGCCAAAAAGTGAATTTCTTTGCCGTGTTGTCTTGCAGTATTACTAAACGACCTTCTTGCAAACAATGCGGAGTGAATGCAATGTTGTTGATCCTCTGTATTTTCAAGTATGGATTTTTTTTATATCGCCAAGCTCTACATAGACACCATTATTCAATGACACTTGACCTTCAAATATTGTATGAAATTACAGCTATTTGCTTTTTTATTGAGAACATTTCTCACCTTCTTCTCTTCCCTCCCTTCTTCCCTTCCCCATCCACCCCATCCCTCCTACCCCAATCCGTCTCTCTCTCTCTCTCCCTCCCTCCAACCCTCTCTCCAGGACTCAGAACTGCTGGTGATCACAGTTCTGGATGAGAATGACAACAGGCCCATATTCACACAGACCAGCTACCAGGCTGAGATCACTGAGAACTCCCCCGCAGGTACCAACCTCACTGGTGTGTTTGTATGTCTGTCTGTGTGACTGTTTGTTTAAATTGATAATGTATAATTCCTCTGCTACCTCTATCCCTACCCTGGCACCCACTACCTATTTCGCTATTCCTCTCTTTATCTCTGCTTTCCTCTATGCTTCCATCACTCATGTTTCTCTCTCTTCCCACTCTCTCCCCAATCTCAATCTTTCCCTCTTTCATCAATCTTTCTTGCTTTTCCCTCTTCAATTATTGTATTTAACTGTCCTCTCCCCTTTTGCCATCCCACACATCTTCCTTTCTCCATCTCCCCCTCTATATTCCTCCATCCTTCTCCGTCTCTCAGGCAGTGCTGTGTTAGTGTTGAATGGACCAGTGTTGGCTGAGGACAAAGACATTGGGCCCAACGCTGTGGTCAGGTACCGTCTGCTGGGAACAAGACTGGACCTCTTCACTGTGGACTCTGATACAGGTCTGACACACACATGCACATGCACGCACGCACGCACACACACACACACACACACACACACACACACACACACACACACACACACACACACACACACACACACACACACACACACACACACACACATAATGATCACTCAATTACACAACTCTAATACATGCACACTCAAACACATACACACACTCTCACTCACAACCCTACACACATGCAATGAATTATAACAACTTTGAAGTCAGCACCAATGAACCCAATGCCTGTACCTCTCCCTTGTTCCCCCCTGCAGGAGTGGTGTGTGTGCGACAGGTGGCGCTGTTGGACCGTGAGACGTTTGTGGAGCCGTGGGTGGAACTGTTCCTGGTGGGGGAGGATGTGTGGGGGCTCAACAGCAGTGTGCCCCTCACTGTGACCATCCTGGATCAGAACGACAACCCTCCTGTCTTCAACCCCCCCAGCCTAACTGTGCACCTTCCTGAGAACAGCCCCACTGGTGAGTGTGTGTTGGTGTGGATGGGTGTGTGTGTGTGACTCCATGCATGCATTCATGTGTGTGTATGTACGTGCATGCATGTGTATGTGTATGTATGTGCATCATCCCAAGCCACAAATACATGCACAAATACATCCATTACTTATTTTGTTAAATAAATGATATATACCCATTGATTCTTGAAGAATATAACTTATAAATGCCTCAGGCTTAGTTCAACTGTCGTACCCCATCAGAACCCCAAATCTAATCTTGTTTTACTTGATTGTTTGTAAACAATGTAATTGTAAACAAACACTGTATAGCCACAAACTATAACTTTTATATCATGGATGGTCAGTCTTTGCATCCATAGCACTGTCTATGAATTTGAGAGTGGTTACATTTTTCCAGCCCAATCCCTCAGCTGTGTACCAAAACAGTGGCGGAGTGACAGCGTTTTATTGTTTGAACGGCAGATTGCCCCTTTAAGCCTAGTCCTGGACAGAAATTCTCCATTAAACATAATTTTTTGTCCAGGACTAGGCTTAATCTATGTCTGGGAAACCTGCCCCTTGTGTTCTATCCTAACCCCTGTGTCCTCTCTCTCTGTTTTAGGTGTGGTGGTGACACAGCTGTCTGCCAGTGACGCTGATTCGGGCTCTAACGCCTGGCTGCTGTACCGGCTGGAGAGTGGCGCCCAGGACCGCTTCATAGTCGACTCCCTGTCTGGCGCCGTTCTGGTGGGCAACGTCATCCTCGACCGTGAGGAGCGCGGCTCCTACCGCCTGGTCATCTTGGCTACCGACCGCGGCACGCCCTCGTTGTCGGGCACTGGCACCCTGTCGGTCATCCTGGATGATGTCAATGACTCGCGACCGCGTTTCATTGAACCCGTGACGACTATTAACGTAAACGAGTCTACGCCGCCAGGCGTGGTGGTGGCTACGCTTGCCGCCGAGGATTATGACCTACGACCCCGGCTGGAATATTACATAATCTCTGTGGAGGCCAAGGATGATGGGAATAACCCTGTAGATGGGCTGCAAGAGTCGTTCGGCATCGATTTCCACACGGGTTAGTAGTCAACAGACACAATAGATCATGATTAGCATTGCATCTTTACTCAGATTCTGTGGATGTTGTGAAAACATGTGTATGCAGTATAAGTAAGTGTGTGTGTATGTGCGTGCGTGTGTCTCTGTGTGTCTCTGTGTGTCTGTCTGTGCGTGTGTGCGTACATGTGCATGTGCATACATGTGCACGTGCCTGTTTGTGTGTGTTAAATGTGTGTGTATGTGTGTGTGCGTGTGTGTGTGTGCGTGCGTGTGTGTGTTCCCACAGGTGCTGTGTTTGTGCGTAACCCACTCAACAGAGAGCTGGTGGCCACATTTGAGATCCTCGTGTCGGTGCATGACAACGCTAGTGATGTCATCGACATGTCAGTCAGCGTACCTAATGGTCAGGCTTCATCTAAAATCACCCTACTTTTGTTTGTTATTTTATCACCTTTTTGTGGCCCCATATGTCCCTCAAGATTCAACAATTTGTTAAACCAACAGAAGTTGATAGGAATTGACTTAGTGCATCTCATGATAAAAACAAGCATACACACAAACCTCAATCACTACAATACACTCAAAATAGGTTGAAAGACAATGCTCCGGAAAACCCCCTAAGGCAGGGGTTCCCAAACTTTTTTGGCCCACGACCCCATTTTGATATCTGACAATTCTTGTGACCGTAACCATGTGAAAACAATTATGTAATTAACAGCCAATGTTAACTTTTTTATTTGGGGCTATATCTGCACTATATCTCAGAGTTCTGTGGCTCAGCTCTTTTGCCGCCAGTTGCTCTCGGTGTATCATACAATGCGTCCATATGGCAGAGGGAGACACATTCATAACTAGAGTGCCAAGGCCTGCCTGCCGTCCCGCCATAGATGGAGCCCCATCTGTGCAAAAGCCTACCATTCGATCCCATGGAATCAGTTTTTCGTTAACATAGACACGCAACACACTGAACATCCTCTGTGAATTTTTATGCTCGGGAATCGTGAGACAGAACAATATGTCCTCGTAAATAGCATCCCCCGACAAAACAAACAAAAGTCAATTCCTGGGCATGTCGGCCCTCACAGCCAACGTCCATTTGGAGAGCATAAGCTGGGCAGTTTTTGAGTTGCTCTTGATTACTAGCAATAGCATAAATTATTTGTGTAACAGTGTTATCTGACAAAGGTATTGATGTGAGTTTCTGTGCCTCTGCCTCCCCACAAATTGTTTTCACGATATCAATTGCGGCCGGTAATATCAAAGTCTCTGCAATAGTGTGTGGTTTCATAGCGTAGCGGGCCTAGCCATTCACTGTGGGAATAATTCAAGTGCAACGGTCAAGAGTGGCCTTTTCCCATGATCTAAGGGCGCTCTCTGGTTGAATATTATCTTTTAGATTTGAATAATTTTCAGTTAAATTTTTAAGGTTAACCACATTACAATGATTTTGACATACAAAGACGATATTATAATATATGTATTTTTTTGTATATATATTTTTTTCTTCAGGATAATGGAAATTCTCCCACGACCCCATTTTCAAATCAGGCGACCCCACATGGGGTCGCGACCCCTAGTTTGGCAACCGCTATCCTAAGGTCTAAGGGCCCGGGGCTGGGTTTCTCCTAAGCTAACATATGGAATTGTTTTAAGATGGTCATACCTAGGGCTGTTGCAGTGACCATATTACCACCACACCGGCGGTCACAAGTCATGAAGGCAGTCAAATTGTGACCGTTTAGTGATGTTTAGTCACGGTAATTAGGCTTCTCCAAGCTCTGATGCTGCTGATGGTCATTAGTAGCCTACCAAACTTGCTAACTGCCTGGTACGCAGCACTCTATTGTCCCTTTGATCACTCTGACATCAATGCAAAAAATCTAATCAAACACTTCATGAGAGCCCATGAGCTCATGTTGCGCAACATTTCCATAGGCTATGCAATTTCTATAGGCTATGCAATTGCGCGAGAAAACAGAGTGATGGCCTCTACTAAAAAGAGGAGGATCACATCAGCTTTCTATAGGCTAGGCCTACTATATTTATTTCTCAACTTTCCTACTATTAAGCATATCTTTCCAACAGGAGTATAGCCTACCTGGCTGGCATGAAAATGAACCATGGGAAAAGCTTCCTCCATTCGCTATTTAAGTGCATAGATTACATTAATTGTTTCCCCTGCCCCTGTTTCAAGACAGGTGAATGATAATGTTCCATTCTAAATCAAAACAAATTTCACACATATACAGTTGAAGTCGGAAGTTTACATACACAGTTCCCGCTCAGCCCAGTCAAAACTGTTCGCTGCTCTGGCACCCCAATGGTGGAACAAGCTCCCTCACGACGCCAGGACAGAGGAGTCACTCACCACCTTCCGGAGACATTTGAAACCCCACCTCTTTAAGGAACACCTGGGATAGAAAAAGTAATCCTTCTAACCCCCCCCCCCCCCCTTACCCCACCCCACAAAAAAAAAAAAATGTGTAAAGTGGTTATCCCACTGGCTATAAGGTGAATGCACCAATTTGTAAGTCGCTCTGGATAAAAGCGTCTGCTAAATGACGTAAATGTAAAATGTAAATGTTGGAGTCATTAAAACTAGTTTTTCAACCACTCCACAAATTTCTTGTTAACAAACTATAGTTTTGGCAAGTCGGTTTACAGACAGATTATTTCACTTATAATTCACCATATCACAATTCCAGTGGGTCAGAAGTTTACATACACTAAGTTGACTGTGCCTTTAAATAGCTTGGAAAATTCCAGAAAATGATGTTATGGCTTCAGGGGCTTCTGATAGGCTAATTGACATAATTTGAGTCAATTGGAGGTGTACCTGTGGATGTATTTCAAGGCCTACCTTCAAACTCAGTGCCTCTTTGCTTGACATCATGGCAAAATCTAAAGAAATCAGCCAAGAACTCAGACAGAAATTGTAGACGTCCACAAGTCTGGTTCATCCTTGGGAGCAATTTCCAAATGCCTGAAGATACCACGTTCATTTATAAAAACAATAGTACGCAACTATAAACACCATGGGACCACGCAGCTGTCATACCGCTCGTGAAGGAGACACGTTCTGTCTCCTAGAGATTAATGCACTTTGGCGCGAAAAGTGCAAATCAATCCCAGAACAACAGCAAAGGACCTTGTGAAGATGCTGGAGGAAACAGGTACAAAAGTATCTATATCCACAGTAAAATGAGTCCTATATCGACAAAACCTGAAAGGCCACGCAGCAAGGAAGAAGCCACTGCTCCAAAACCGCCATAAAAAAGCCAGACTACGGTTTTCAACTGCACATGGGGACAAAGATCATACTTTTTGGAGAAATGTCCTCTGGTCTGATGAAACAAAAATAGAACTGTTTGGCCATAATGACCATTGTTATGTTTGGAGGAAAAAGTGGGTAGCTTGCAAGCCGAAGAACACCATCCCAACCGTGAAGCACGGGGGTGGCAGCATCATGCTGGGGGTGCTTTGCTGCATGAGGGACTGGTGCACTTCACAAAATAGATGGCATCATGAGGAAGGAAAATTATGTGGATATATTGAAGCAACATCTCAAAACATCATTCTGGAAGTTAAAGCTTGGTCGCAAATTGGTCTTCCAAATGGACAATGATCCCAAGCATACTTCCAAAGTTGTGGCAAAATGGCTTAAGGACAACAAACTCAAGGTATTGGAGTGGCCATCACAAAGCCCTGACCTCAATCCTAAAGAAAATGTGTGGTCAGAACTGAAAAAGCGTGTGCGAGCAAGGAGGCCTACAAACCTGACTCAGTTACACCAGCTCTGTCAGGAGGAATGGGCCAAAATTCACCCAACTTATTGTGGAAAGCTTGTGGAAGGCTACCCGAAAAGTTTGACCCAAGTTAAACAATTTAAAGGAAATGCTACCAAATACTAATTGAATGTATGTAAACTTCTGACCCACTGGGAATGTGATGAAAGAAATAAAAGCTGAAATAAATAATTATTTCTACTATTATTCTGACATGTCACATTCTTAAAATAAAGTGGTGATCCTAACTGACCTAAGACAGGGAATTTGTACTAGGATTAAATGTCAGGAATTGTGGAAAAACTGAGTTTAAATGTATTTGGCTACGGTGTATGTAAACTTCCGACTTCAACTGTAGGTTATTGATTACTAACGTAATACAATGAAAACAGGTCCCTAGTGGACTGGACTAACAATAGCATGAATGCTTGGGTAGAAGGAGGGTTGGCTGATTCAGAGAGGGGCGGGGAAAGTAAGAGATAAAGGAATTCACCTATCAGACATTTCTTAACTACACTCACGGAAATACAAATGCTTAGCACCTGCTCATTTGGATTAGAAATACAACATGTACAGTGGGGAAAAAAAATATTTAGTCAGCCACCAATTGTGCAAGTTCTCCCACTTAAAAAGATGAGAGAGGCCTGTAATTTTCATCATAGGTACACGTCAACTATGACAGACAAATTGAGAAAAAAAATCCAGAAAATCACATTGTAGGATTTTTTATGAATTTATTTACAAATTATGGTGGAAAATAAGTATTTGGTCACCTACAAACAAGCAAGATTTCTGGCTCTCACAGACCTGTAACCTCTTCTTTAGGAGGCTCCTCTGTCCTCCACTCGTTACCTGTATTAATGGCACCTGTTTGAACTTGTTATCAGTATAAAAGACACCTGTCCACAACCTCAAACAGTCACACTCCAAACTCCACTATGGCCAAGAACAAAGAGCTGTCAAAGGACACCAGAAACAAAATTGTAGACCTGCACCAGGCTGGGAAGACTGAATCTGCAATAGGTAAGCAGCTTGGTTTGAAGAAATCAACTGTGGGAGCAATTATTAGGAAATGGAAGACATACAAGACCACTGATAATCTCCCTCGATCTGGGGCTCCACGCAAGATCTCACCCCGTGGGGTCAAAATGATCACAAGAACGGTGAGCAAAAATCCCAGAACCACACGGGGGGACCTAGTGAATGACCTGCAGAGAGCTGGGACCAAAGTAACAAAGCCTACAATCAGTAACACACTACGCCGCCAGGGACTCAAATCCTGCAGTGCCAGACGTGTCCCCCTGCTTAAGCCAGTACATGTCCAGGCCCGTCTGAAGTTTGCTAGAGTGCATTTGGATGATCCAGAAGAGGATTGGGAGAATGTCATATGGTCAGATGAAACCAAAATAGAACTTTTTGGTAAAAACTCAACTCGTCGTGTTTGGAGGACAAAGAATGCTGAGTTGCATCCAAAGAACACCATACCTACTGTGAAGCATGGGGGTGGAAACATCATGCTTTGGGGCTGTTTTTCTGCAAAGGGACCAGGACGACTGATCCGTGTAAAGGAAAGAATGAATGGGGCCATGTATCGTGAGATCTTGAGTGAAAACCTCCTTCCATCAGCAAGGGCATTGAAGATGAAACATGGCTGGGTCTTTCAGCATGACAATGATCCCAAACACACCGCCCGGGCAACGAAGGAGTGGCTTCGTAAGAAGCATTTCAAGGTCCTG